CGGGAGAGGCCGGGCGGGTAGGGAGGTGGGCGCTGGCCTCGCAGGGGCGCCCCGGCTGCCGCCCGCCCGGCTCCGGAGAAGCGTGACCCCGGGAAAGCGCCGCGCAGCCTTCCAGGAGCCCGGGACTCGACAGGAGTAATGGGAGTCACACCTCGCCAAACGCTGAATTAGTTTACCTCAGAGTTACCGTAAACTCGTGTGCACTGTGGGCTGCCGCGGGCAGGAACGACATCCAGACCAGTTCTGGCGGATGGAGAAGCAGACCAGCCCCCAGGCGCTCACGGCCTTTTTCCCACCCGTCCAATTCCTAATAATGACAGCCCTGGGCTTTTCGCTGTAGGGATGTACAAGTACCCTCCACACAGGGACAACGTTTGATTTTATACCTGACATGCGCCCGTAACAGGACCAGTCCACCGCCTCAGCCGTGCCAACCAGGCCCCACACAGGCCCCTCTGCCCCTCACCTGCTCCTGAGTTCGAGAACGCGTTGGGCTTGGCCAGCTGAGGCTGGCTCACTGTCTGCTGAAGAAGTGCTGGGAGAAAGCCGGGGAAAGGAGCAGCTTTTTACAAAGAAAATAGGACATAATCTGCTGGGAATTCTGACAAGTTACATCACCCTGCAAAACCTGTGTCTGTAAAAAATGTTGAAACTTAACTGCAACTTTGGTACATCATATAACTTTGATAAAAGGAGAACAGAGAAGGTTTTAAAAAGCAAACCAAAACGCACGCTTCACGTTTTTGCGCCCGCACAGGGTGCTGCCCTGCCTTCACCCCGGCGGGGTACAAGCTCTGCACAGCTCCTGTGGCCGCTGCCCACACCACAGGTCCCTGCTCTGCCAGGAGAGGAGAGCCTCAGCAGCAGTCCCTGAAATAACTAACATGGACACTTTTTCTGTTCTAACTATTAGATTTAATAATAATTACAACATGACCTTACTTTGCTATCTGCTGCTCCGCAATTAAGATTTGTCTCCCCTTGCGTTGGAAAAAAAGAATGATCCTTATATTTTAAAAGGCATCTTGTCACAGTATGTGGAGCATTTAGGATGAGTAATTATTTCACTCCACTATTAAATGTCACATTGGATATGAATGTAAAATCTAATTTAGAGTGCTTTCCTAGGACTGAATCGCAAAACTGAATTATTTGTCAGGCTTCCCTCAAATGCATGACAGACCAAATCTAGGTGTAATTTCTGTTCCTGTGTAATGCATCCGACCCAGATAGGCAGAACAGAAATACCTTGAATACTTGGAAGACGCTCAAGCCCAGGCCCTGCCTTCACTGCCTAAGACACTCTGCAATCCGGAGGTTTGGAGATGGGAAAATAAGGCACTGAAGGACATGTGGCACATACCTATTCCTGTTACTGTTGGCCTTCACTCTCAGGTTTTCTGCCACCCAAGTTAGTGGTGAAACATTCAGGTAATTTACATCTCACTGAGCTTCAGGAAACAGCTAAGGAGCTGAGGGCAGCCAAGGCTTTGTTAGGCTGAACACCTTTCCTCCCACCTGAGTGGCTGAGAGGGCACTTTGCTTTCAGTACCTGCAAGGTGCACACTTGATTTCTGCACAGATTTTAACTGAAAAAGAGAAATACAAAAAGCCTGGATGGGGAGGTGGCCTGCAACACACACCAGCAATACAATATGGCAGATGCCTCGCTACTGGAGCCCTGCCACCCAGCAAGGGCTCGGTTTAGGGCTGGAGACCATCTTGGGGGGTTTGTAGGGGAGAGTTTTGGGGGGTATGTAGCAGGCCCTGTGCTACACATCTGCGACACAGGCGGTCCCTGAATGAGCAATGACAGCTCTGACCTCAGGGTAGAAAAAGCACACAGATTTTGTAAACTGTTCAAGTCGCTATGGTTGGCAGGAGCAAGGGGAGTGGTTCATTTCCCCCCAAAAACCCCACCAGGTTTCTAGTTGGCAGATGCCAAATCTTGAAGTGATACTTAGGAAGTTTGAAAGCTGAGGTGATGATTCCGTTTGTTACAAGAAAGGCATTTAATTAGAAAAGAGAACTGTAACAAAGAGAAGGGCTATCATCAGACTTGATGGCAAACTATTGCTAAGGCTGTCTAACTGATTGCCCCCCTAAATATATGCGTGAGTATAGAATTGGGGAGGAAAGGGCCAGGGGAGCCTCACACAGGCTAGAACTCACTCTGGTGCATCAACACGTGCCTAACTTTGAGAGTGCAAATTTTCCAACTAAAGTTCAGCAAAGTAACTTGCTTATTTAAAGATGGGCACCCACTTAAGCTCCTGGCTAAACTTGAAGGGAGAAGGGCCAGAACAAAAATGGTAAGATTTTTAATTATTCTCTCCAGAGTTCATATTATCACTGAATCAGAAAAAACATGGATTAAAAATGCTCAATTTTCTTTTTAAAAGATATTAAAAATATTTATACTAAGCCTGTTTATTAGGTAGTAAACAAACAGAAAAAAATGTAGAAAACATAAGGCACAGCCAACCATATGTACACACACAAAAACTTCAGATGTATTAATTCTTCTGCCAGAAGAATCCAGGAAAACCAAAAATCTTACTAAGAATAAAATTAAGCAAAGCACAATGAAATTAAAAATGACAAATTTGTCCGTGTCACAAATGAGACAAAACTTCAAATTGCCACACCAACTTCAAACAGCCAAAGCACACAAGGAAAAGCCACAGGCGTAACCTAAAATGCTAGTTTGGTTGTCACTTAGGATTTCACAGCCTTATGCATTAATTATAAAGAAAATTCACCCAGAGGATTATTTCAAAAACGATCTCTCAACTTTCCACATGAAATTGCCAAGGAATTGGATATAGTTGCAGCATATTACTTAACTCATAAATCCCAATTATTAATAACTGAGGTAATCAGCTTTTACAAGATTATTCTCTTACACATACTTATTAACTATGATGCAATTACAGGAATAATTTTTGTTTCTGAACAGCCAGCTCAGTGTTCAATTTCATACACAGTAAAAAAAAGAAATAAAACCCTTACAATAAAATTGCCATCATAAGTAAAATCAACTGTATAATTTAAGAGAAGAAAGAAACTTAAACGTAGTGATTAACATTTCATCCAAAGCAAGGTCTCAGTATAAAATCACCAAAGTACTTTTCTAGAAGTGAAAAGACCTGAAATAAATGAAGTACCAGCAGGGAGAGCGTGCCCTTCGATAGGGCCCATTACAAAGCACAGTCGCTTGCCAAGTGTAAAACCTGAAACACTGTACACCCTGTGTTGTAGAGGGAAGAAATCTGCCAGTAAAGCTTTCAGCCATGACTTCACAGCAATCGGGTTAATCCAGTTAAGGACTTTGAACTTTTACTAGTGAGAATTTTAAGTCAATCCACCATTTCCTAGCTAGTACAAAAGACCTAAAAGCTAGTCTTATGGATTTGCACCAAACCAGAACGCATTTCTGTACCTGCTTGCCACTAAACATCCCTTGATATCCAGAAGACTGTTTATCATAGCCTGTATGAGACAGAGTTCAGAAAACATGCATAGATATTTTCAAGTGGTGAATGCGGTTATTCCCTGAAAATCTACCAAGGAAAATGGAGGATTATTCATCTTTTCACCACATCCAAATCAAGAGCATACTTCTCTCTGTGAAATCAGAGAGAGAAAGCATCAGTGAGGCTCTGGCTTTATTTGTGAATTGAATGCCCCTGCTTCGCAGTCCCAAATGCAGTGCTCACTGCATGTGTCCCATAGGAAAATTTTTAACAGATGGTAGTGTAATCACTAGCATGCTCTACATATTTTAGGTATACTAAATACACCAGTTTCTTCTCTCTAACTCAGTATAGCAGAATTATATATTGTCGCTTAGATACAAATGAGACATTCTCTCAAGAAAACAAGCCAACATGTAATAGTAAGATTAGACATAGCTTTGGAATGCTTACAGGTTTCAATATATACATTTTTTGTAAGATCTTAATGTAAAAATCAAATTATAATGTTCATGCAGTAACTTACAGGAGATGTAAAAACTCAGACTTGGGACTGTGCTTTCTGGCAAACAGCAGAAGAGGGAGAAAAATACTTGGACACTTTGTATGTTCAATTTTAAAAACATTTAGAATCTATGATCAAGCTCAGGACTGTCTCTCTGGTGTGTGCCGGGCTACAGCTCTTCAACCTTGCAAATACCTAGAGATGTTAACACCTGTAATTCAGTGTTTTTAAATAGACTAATAAGATTCTGTTTGCTATATCAGTGCTTCTTAATCCATACTTTTATCAGTCCT